CACAGCACCATGGCTGTCTTGTTCCATACAGACATGCCCATATCATAGCAAAGAACTGAGCCTGCTGTCTCTATGGTCCCTCCATACCATTCTGAGAGCATAAAGGGGCCTTTCTGAGGAGAAGAGTTTCAAGATAATATCCTCTACACAGGGAACCTTTACTACAGGAAAGGAGCTGCTGAGCCAAAATTACATTAATCCTACTTCATGTGCAGGGAGGGAAGTGATGGGCAAGAAATGGAAGGACAGGTTATAACTGGTTGGTAATGCAAGGTAATGCACATAGGCAAAAAGAAGCTCAATTACACATTAACACCACTAGGTTCGGAACTAGCAGTTCTGAACTAGCTGTTAAGATTAAGGAAAGAAACACTGGAGTCATTATAGGCAGTTCTCTAAAAATATCAGCACCATGTACGGCAACAACAACAAAAAAAAACTAATAAAAATGTTGGGTATCATTAAGAAGGGAACTAAAAACAAAAACCAGAAAACACTGTCATGCTACTATACAAATCCCCATGGTACACCTATATCTTGAATACTGCGTGCAGTTCTGGTATGCACAGCTCAAAAAGGATGTAGTAGAATTAGAAATGGTACTGAAAAAAAAGAAGCGAAATCATCAGGGGTATGCAGCAGTTGCTATAAGAAGAAAGAGACTAAAAAAGCTATGGCTTTCCAGTTTGGAAAGGAGAAGGCTGAGGAGGGATATAATAGAGGTCTAATAAAATCAGGAAGGATGTGGACAAAGTAAATAGGGAACAGTTATTTACCAAGTCTTAGAATACTGGAACTAGAGGACATGCACTGAAACTAGTAGGAGCCAGTTCTAAAACGAGTAAGAAAAAAATATTTTCTTATGCAGCATATAGTCAACTTGTAGGACTCATTATCACAGGGGGGGTTGAGGCAGATGGTATAGCCAGGCATAAAAATGGGACTAGACAAACTTATGGGTGATGGATCTGTTTAATAGGTATTAAGCAGAACAGTCAGTGATGTATTTTCTGGCAACCCTAAATCAATGATTGTGGATGCCAGGAAGGTCAGTAAACAGGGAATAGATGACTCTAGATATACATGCTCTCCCTCTAAAGCGCATCCACTCTTGCCACTGTCATAGACAAAATGCTAGGCTAGATGGACCATTGGTCTGACTCAGAATAGCATTTCTGTTCTTAATGCTCTTCCCAGGCTTTACCATAGGAACACTTTAAACACTCTAAAGTTACTTTGTTATCAAAAGATAATTTATATGTTTAAAGGTTTCCACTGCATGAAACAGTAGGCAGAAATGAACCAGGAGGCTGGGTAGTACAGAAGGGAAACAGGGAACTAAGTAGCAGGAAAATACATGAAGAAAGAAGAGGAGGACCAATAAGAAAAGTAGGTCAGGAGAGAAAGGAATAGAACAGATGGGCAGGATATGATGAAAAAGAGCAAAAGAAGAATGACAGACTACCAGTTTTCAAAAGGAAAGAACACTTTGCATATTTAATATTAATACATTTAGTGACAACTATTATTTTTCCAAATACCAAGTTCCTAGAATAGCCACAGGACTGCCATATGGGAGGGAAAAACTGAGGCAGCCTGAGTGGTTTATACAGTAGTAAACAAGAGGGTCTACAGTATGGATGAAGTTTGGGAACCTCCTCTACTAAAGATAATAGTTGGCATTAGTAGCTGCTGTATGCTTTGGTGACAAGAGAGAAAAAAAGGTCAACAGGAATGAGGGGTCTGGAAAGTGGATTAAAGTGATTAAGAAGCAGCAATAAAACTCTCTGCCCTCTGTCCGCCTACAGAAGCGTACAAAAGATGTATAAAGTCAATAATGCAAACCCAGTAGGGACTAAGATTTGCCTCACTAACTACAATGGAAATAACATGCACATAACCACAGGCCATCGCTTACTCCACTGTTCTTCAATGTAAACTGCTGTTTTAATGTAGCCAATAACATAGAAACAAATGAAGAGTAAAATGAAGGGAAACCAGAGCAAATGAAAAAAACAATTATAAACCAAAAATGAAATAAGTAATGATCTTAAGATGAGAACACAAAAATCCTAAATTCCAGAATTAGATGGCAAGTATTAGCCATGAGGATCTTCTTGATTTCAAAGAAACCTTTCATGACAAATCAGGACCTAAAAAACCAAAGTCACCCATAACAACTTGTTTATGAAACACTGAAGTCTAATGATTTCAAAATACAGCCCTAGGGACTAAGCAGCCATAATTCCTGTTTATTGAACTGGTTTCAGTAGTGGACAGCAGCAAAACTGACAAAAATTGTATCATTTTCAGAAAGCAACAGAGAGAGGGTCCTTGGCTCTATGATCAGCTTGCCATTCCAACAGCCTCGTCTAGGACCTCAAGTTTTTCAGACTCTAAAACCAGTAGGCTCAGTGAACTATTAGACTTTCAGGGCAGCAAGCTCCTCACCTCCTCCATTGCAGAAGTAAGGTTGGCCAGGGACCCAACTGGACTGATTACTTAGGAAAGCAGTTCCCAACCACAGAGTAATCTGCAAGAAAAAGCTGTCTACTGTGGCTGGAGTCACAAGGTTGATCCAGTCCAGGAGATGCTAGCAGACACTCAGGGCAGCTGGCTCCCCAGGCTCCAGATGTGTACCCCTGGAAGCCAGTTGATCCAGAAGTCTGGAATACCTTGGTCTAAAGCTGTCCAACAGACAGACTGCCAGAGAGGTAAGCATGTGTCCTGCCAGGAATCCAGGCAAGTTTCTAATAAAAACCTGTCTGATGGCAAGTTTCAAAACTTTGCCTGTATTATGCTGGGAGGTTAGTCACAAAAATACCCAAAATAAAACAAAACATAAGAAAACACTACCAACCTTGTTCCACAAAGAATTGCACACATCATTCATTTTAAAATGAATCTGCATTTTCTAACAGAAAAATGTACTGTCAGAAAAAATCTGACCAGCTGTACACACGATACATCAGTCATTAGAATCACCCTACCAGTTTGGGGCAGAATAATCTGGGCAGCCACTATGGGAAAGTATGTTCCAGATTGCCCCTTAACTGCTTCACCAGAAACAAACGCTGCACTGTTTATCACACATCCAAGAAGTTGGTGCCTGACCACTTCCCTAAACCAATGGATTATTAATTGCAGTAGCTGGGCTACCACCAGTATGTTCTTGTAATCTTATTCCGTGGCTACATGGCTGTTGGGTTGAAAGGAAATGGGTATATCCATCCCCTTCCACTACTGTAGAACAGTGAAAGTCCACACATGTGCCATATGACTAGAGGCGATACACTTCTAGAGGGTTTGAACTCTGCACCTTGATGAAGTCATGACGTACTTCTAAGGTCTGGGCATACACACTGTATAATGGTAATGCAACTGTTTATCAATGTTAATATGTTAATTATGATAATGTTGATTGTACTGAGTTGAAATAATTTGAATTGATTGGCCTTTTTAAGTACTGCCCAGGTTTGAATTTGATTGGGTATTGTGACAAAGGTGATGATTGGACCATTGGGTGAGGGACAGGTGTTGTGTTTAAACAGAGCAGCCAGTACGAGCTCTGGGGGCTCAGGCTCAGACTCGGCCTCACTCTCACTCTGGCTGGACAGTCCTAACCCCAGGCTCTCAGGGTGTGGGAGTTCGTTGAGTGCAGGTTCCTTGCTGTGACCTGGTCATTGGGATTGAGCTTGCTGAGGTTTAGCTGTCTCGCGCTCTTTACTTTGGGCTTCGGCTGTGGAAGCTGCAGTTGGGTAAAGCATCACACTTCCCCTATTTGAGGTGCTGAGTACATAAGCAGGGAAAAGCTAGAAATCCTCAAGGACTTGTCAGAGGGTTTCTCCTGCTGACTAGACCCAGGGTGTTCTTGCTGCCGTCTGTGCTTTCTGGGTTGTCTGTAAAGTTGCATAGCGGTTAACTGTGTAGTGACCGCAGCTCACTGTAATGTGTAATTGATTGGCTGTGTGACCAACAACAGTGGGTTTGGAATGTGCGTTGGGTTATTGCCCCGTTGGGTGTATTTTATTGTGTTGCAGCTTGGGTGTATGGAAATATTGCATCAGGTAGTTGTTGCACGGGTTGTATCGTGTAATACAGCTTATATTGCTCAACCTACCTGTGTTCTAGTGTGCAGCTACTCTTCCTAACTCTAAGTAGGGTTGGGCAGTAGAGATCAATGCTCAGGGAAATCAACTTACTTTAATGCCCCTGAACCTGACTACCTATGGGTCATAAAGGATTAATGACCCTCTGGATTAATTAGTTAATTGGCATCCCCACAGGCTGTCCTTCACTACTAGGGCACACAGAAGAGGAAGAGATTCTGTGCTAAACAAAGTCCTTAAGGAAGGGTGGGCCAGATACCAAATTATGTGATGATTATTCTTCCTCTATACAGACAAGCACAGGATAAACCACTTTTGGTATCAGCAGCAACAGAAGGTATGTGCCCACAGTTCAAAGTTTAACCACAATATCACACAACTCTGGACAAGCCATCTGGTTATAAAATACCTGAACCTGGTTTTATCCCACAAAAGTCAGTGGCAAATTAAAGGCCTCATTTTTGCCACAACAGAAAAAGCTCTACATGCTTAAACATACTTCATTACATCACATAAAGCTGGTCATTTTGACACTGGAGGAAACCCCCCCCCAAAAAAAAACAAACCCCTAAACTTCAGATAAGCACACACAATTTTCCAAAACCACAGAAGGAGAACATTTCACTTTGGATTCAGGAATCCTTACCTGTCACACATGCTGTTTCCTAAAAAAATAGTTCATGTAATTATTATATTTAATAAGTTATGATATTGTAAATGACAAGCCACAAGCTAGCCAATGCTACCTCAGCTACCCATAGCAGACAAATTAGCAAGAGTGTATTTAGATACTAAATATGGACATAATTCTACAATATCAGTAGTTCCGGATTTGCTAAGCCTTTAAAATGGGGGGGAAGAGGGAGAAGGTGGGGGGTTGTCAAAGCCTACCTTGATATCAAAGTTGCAGTCAAGTCTTCTGATTAAGACAATGAAAGTATTGGAGGAGTTGTCCTTAAGTGGTGGAGGGGCTATAGGCTCACACGCATTCTCCGGCTTCGAATTTATTAAGAACCCCTGAAACAAAGTCATGGTATATGATCAGTTTTCTCTTTGACATAACCCTACAAATGTTGCGGAAAATAATTTTTCATATTTATAAGAAAGCCACTTGAATTCCTGAAGCTCTGTCTTGAGTTTTACATTGCATCATGCTTTGTGTGTAAATACTGATTTTAAACACCAAAATGTTCCTTAGGGTTACAAAGAAAGAAGTGCAGCAAACTGAGGACATCAAATAGTTGCACATACTTTCTGATTACCTCGTAAGTAGGTTCATATCATCTCAGAACTCTAGCCATAGGTCAGTGTACAGAGATCTGTATACATTGAAGTAAAATTATATAAGTGATTTTCTTTTCAGGGCTGCACAATGCAGTCAACAGAAACAGGCCGAGTAGCAGCAATACAAATTCAGTATTAGCTATCAAAGATAAATAGGAGGAATATTTTCACACATATAAAAAGAGCTAACTTGCATTTTCATAAACAATACCTATTTAGGAAGAGAGTGTGTGAGAGTGAGAGTTATCAGTCAGAACTGCAAAACACCACTAGAGAAATATTGAGACTGGGAAGTTCTATAGCTGCAAACAGACATTGCCTCCATATTGCCACAAAAGTTCTTACAGTAGCACAAAGTGAAAGCAAATAGATGTCTATGCCCTTTGTTGCATCACAGGTCCCCAAATTTGTGGCCGTGACAAAAGTTAATATAAATTTGTGCTGGATGTCTCTGTTTTCAGGCAGAACACTTCAGGCAGCACAGAGCTGCCCATGCTCTCCAGCCACTCCGGGCAGGCACTCCCAGGCCCAAGGGCTCAATCCTACACACATACAGGAGAATTCCCAGGGCATGAAAGATTGGGCCCTTGAAGCCCCTGCCTGGGTTCCCCAGTGTGAAGTGACCCACTGCAAATTGGATTCTCTACACACACTTCTGCAAGCAAAGAAATCTGGGGTTCCCCATTTGCAAAGGCATGCTCGGAGTGCTGTCCCACAGGATTGGGGGCAGCAAAGGCCCCGATGGACAACAGGTAACACCTATTCCACCCAGTGAAGCAAATCAGCTGTTTCTCAACGGATCACAACACAGCTGATCCACTTCATTTAGCAACATCTGTTTCTGTTTTAGCCTATGATTGTCAGTGCCTGGATTGTCCCCAGGAGGCACGAGGGGGCTTGAGTATGCACCTTATTACACGATAGCAACTGATCATGATCACTCCTAGCCTACAAACACTCTGTGGCAGTACACGAAGCAGGTCTGATATTGTTTTAATAAACTGTGGCTGCATCTTTATCCTGAAGAGTACTGGGATCAGAATTGTGAACAATATTTTTTAAAATGTTGCTTAATACAAAATTCTAATTTTTGGTATCCTCCTAAAAGGCATTAGGACTCGATTTTTGGAAATACTTAGCCTTATCTGCTCCTATTAAAGCTGCTAAGGGGTTGCAGGTATTTACTGCTTGTGAAAAAGAAAGAAAGTCATTTATTTTTCTACCTAAATATGGATTGTAGGACCTAACCTGAAGCAGTCTGGTTTTGAAAATTTGCTCAAAATTTAGGGGAAAAAATATTTTTGAAGATTTGCTGTGTCATTATAACCTCATTTTTATGTTAAATTTAGAAGGTGAAGTTTTAAATTGCATTTGACCTCTTATTTCACATAAACATAAAGATTAAACTTTCTTGTTACAGTAGAGAGACATTAAAATCTAAAGCCTAGCAAGACCTAATAAAATGCGCTAGAACTGTATCAAACATATATTTAGTTACTCAATCAGTAGATTTCCTAAAAATTCAAAAGTTGTCAAGACTACTTCATACAAAACATGTTACTCTGACAATTTTCTTTTAAAATAATTTTTAATTAATAGAACATCAGCATATGATACAAGTACAAGATCATCAGATCCAGATAAAATATTCTTCATCGGTTGGACAAGGGAAAAGGAAGATAATACCAACCAATCAGTTGGAGAGCAAATCTAGAGAGTCAGCCATGTAAATCCTTTTTTGAAGAGTAGAATATTAATGTAAGGGAATCCAGCTGACTTTATTTTATAACATCTCAATGCTCCAGGCCATTTGATTCTAACAGGCAATTTCTCACAATGGTCAACCAGCAATCTCATTTTAATACTCTCTCCCATTAAAGCATGCTCCACTCCACAGAGTGTGTATCAACCAAATCGGCAATTATTTTTCAAATAAACGAACTTCACAGATCTTTTCTAGCCAGATTAACTAACTCTCTAAACATACAATCAACATATACCCTCTCTGGCATCTGGCATCAGGGCCAGAGCTGAAGCTGCAGCAGTGACAAGCCCCCCACCCCACGCATACTCCAAATCAAAACAAGCTTTCATTCCTCTTCCCCCCTCTGCCCCCACCCCCCATGTTAAATGGGAGAAAAACCCTGGTCTGGATTTGAAAAAATACAGTACATATAGCATGCAGAGGTGGGATAAATTATAAATACACAATTAATTCAAGAGGAGACTCCTCGGCTGCTGAGGCTGATTGGGTGCTTCCATAGCAACTCCCATACGCTTGTTATTAGAGTCCTTATCCTGCAAACACTTAATGCTTGTGAGTAGAAAGTGAGATGTCAGAAGGACTATTAGCAACACAAAGAAAATACAGCACCTCACAAGGTCAGCCCATTACAAAACGAAGGAATGTTAGCCTGCAGTGTAAAGGTAGCATGCAAAATAGTTTATTTTAATGAGACTCTGGGCCAAAACTTGAAGGAATGAGTCTGCATAATTTATGTCTCCTTCTGTCCCCAGTAGCTATGCCATACCAAACAAGTCATTCCCTTTCTACCCCCACAGTAAGGTGTCCAGACTGGTATAAGTACCATCCCAAGGTACCTGAGGAAAGGAGTATAGAACCTCCTTTAGGTATATTTTTATTACCTCTAACTGGCACCTTCTAACTCCTCTGTATGCAGTTAACCAGCTTGTCACCAGTAAGAAAAACGTTCAACTTGGACTTCCCCTACCTTACGCATCCCCTCTGAATCTGGCCCAAAGTACCATCATTCTTCAGACGCTGAATTCCTGAAATTCATCATTTCTTACAAAAATGTTTAAAAAACTTTCAGATGACAGATATCACTTGTTTTTCTAACTCATTTAGGATCTAAAATGCCCTTAACTGTTATTTTGTAATTGGAACTTGTAATACTTAACAGGAACAAGATATATGATACATACCAGTGATTCTCAACTAGGATGCTGCAGCATGCTGGGGTGCTAACAAGTGTTAGTGCTGTTAGGTAAGAAAACACCTAGGCTAGGGACAGACATTCAAAAAGCCCAAGCCTGAATTGATTCACTCCTTGCAGGTTAGTCTAACCTGCAGAGATTGAACTGCTTTGCAAATGGACAGAAGACATTCACTTTTGATTCAGGAAACGTAGACACATGCCTGCAGTGCCTCAGGCCACAAGCCAGGAGTACACTAGAGTGAGCTCTTCCTTCCCTTCAACAGTGCTGAGCTGAGAGGGGGCGTAAGCAAGCCCCAGCAGGGCGGTACGATTAGGGCGGGGTTTAAACCCCAACCCTGGCCTGCACAGTCCCCATTTGGGGTGCGACTGGAGGGGGAAGTAGCCCTCACCAGGCTTCCCCTGCCCCCTCCTGCTCGCTGCTCAAGGGGCAGGGACTGTTGTCAGACCCTGGCCTCAAGCCAGCACTCTAGGGCAAAGAGCAGGTGGAGGGGGGGCAGAGCTGGCAGGGGAAGCGAGGAATGTTTGTGTGGACTGCATGCATCTGCTGATAATACCAAGCTTTTCAAATCATCTTCTCTGCTTCTCCATACTGTCTGCAGCAAACTGACATGTACTGCATTCATTGCAAACCAGGTCATTTCTCACACCTCTCTCTGTCCCCTGTAGAACACTGACAACAAGGCAGCGAGGAGCTTATCAGAACACAAAACTTATTCAGCCCATCAAGGAAAAAAAGCCTCTTTCTTATTAGTTCAAGCTCTTCTTAAACAGCTTTTTGAAAAGCATTTTTAAGGAAGAATGGAGAGACATTACCAGCTGACCTATTGATTAGCTCCAAAAAGCCCTAAACAGACACTGTTCTGTCTGCCTTTGTCAGTGAAATTGGAGACATGCACGCACACACACACACGTCTGAGCATTAGCTAGCATGGGGGTGGCGTGACCGTGACCAGATGCTGGCTGGGGTCCATGCTTGAGTGGTGAGCAGCCAGAGGGCGATGGGACAGAGGGAAGCCAGGCAGAAGCTGCTGTGCCTGCTGTCTCCATCTCCTTCTCAGCCAGCCAGAGCTCTGGCTAGGGAGGAGA